CCCATGCTATCTTCTTTATGCCTAATTTAAAAGGCACATTTTCTTATTTGATATGGTTGCACACAAAATTGTTAGGACAGTTAATTACTCTTCGAATGTTTCAGTTAGTAAGATGTGCTGTTGTGCTGTAGACAGTGAGGGCAGAAGTAACATTCACCTGGGATTCTACTAATGTGCTTGGCTTACAGATGGAATCCAATATAACACAGAATCACTCCCTGTATTAGTAAACCAGGGACTAACTATATACTTCTAAATCCAGCCAAAACCCTTAAAGACCCTTAAGACAGGGGTTTTATTACAGTGGTCTGGAAAAGAAATACTAAATCAACAACTGTAAAAGACTGAAGGCACTTTGTTTTCAATTACAAAAAAAAAACACAGAATAATAATAATAACCTTTTAAGAACAGCTGGGCAAAACATCAAGACATACATTGACACAGTTACTTTCATATCAACTTGAGCACAATATCTCTAATGATAATCTGTTTACATTCTGTATTAGTTGCTGGGAGAGAAAATTAAATAAAAAATGCTTATCCCAAAATCAACATACTTGACAACGTACATTTGACTTTGATTCAAGGTGAGAAACCAAAAGCAAACTACAAAAATGTCATAGACTGCATAAGAGATACACTTGCAGTTTTGGCTTTATATCTTGGGTGACATACTGTACAGCCCCAGTTTACTGCGAGACTCCCATCTATAAAGCCACCAATCTGCAGCAGTTTGCTTATACAGCAACTAAGGAACAGCTCACACCCAGCCATTTAACAAATCATGAAGTAAATGCATGCTGCTATCAAAAAGAAATTAGTGTAGTCATGCTAGTGAAAAACAACCCTTCTTTTCAAAGAATCGGGTGATCTCTATGGTTGGAATCATTATCTATCTTTCAACACGGAAACTGATTATTTAAAAAAATACAGCCAATGAGTTCAGGTAGTACAGTGGTTCAATGAGTCGCACTGTCACTTCACAACTTCAAAATCCTGTGCTCAAACTCTTTGCGGAGACTGCAGGTTTGGGTTTTCTCTAGTACCCTGATGTCCTCCATAGTCCAAAGACACATTGTTTATGTCATCTGGCATCTCTGATTTGCCATCTGCATGCCTTGCAATGGACTGGCATTCCACAGTGGGTGCATTCCTGCCTTTTCTGCTGTGTCTGCGTCTGCTGGCTTAGGCCCCGGCTCACTTGAAACCTTCTAACAACAATCCAGGGGAAAGGGGTGGAACATGTTTGCTTATTGCATGCAACAAAACACAACAGCAGGAAAACAAGAGTGAGGAAAAAAGTATTGGAGCCAACATGCTGTGTAATGAATGCCTCTTCCTAAAGCTGTCATACTCACAATTTCAATGTTCTTAAAACAACAAGAAGAAATGTTGTCTGGCAGATTATTTGCTGGCTTACAGTACCTCTCTATCAGTTGTCAGAGTTAAGTCCTTGCTTATTCATGCATCCATCACACACACAGGCATCCTTCCCTATTCTATCCATAGTGATGATGTGGTGTGGCAGCCATGTCACACTGTCCACAGCTTGTTACCTCCCACGCTTGGACAGAACAACTACTTTGCAAATTAACACACTACTTTAAATTCTCATATCAAAAGTACTGCACATCATTTGCAAAAACTGATATCAGAGACTATAAATCAATTTAAATTACTCGTTTAGTCCAAGAGGATCTGCAATGCTCTTATTTCAATTACAACCTATTCTTCCTGGATTGTTTTAGATCAATCCTAGATCTTACAGTGATAGACAATAAAAATTCTAAAAGTGACGCCCTTTCTTATTATCAGATTTCATTCATGCACATTATAACCTGCCTGAAAGATGCAGGATGAAAAAAAGATCATGTTCAATGGGCATTTAAGGGTGTCCTTAAAAACTGTCCCTAGAAATGTGTACTTTAACTTTAAACTTTCAAAATTGCCGCCAATGCTAATGAATTTTACCTTCTATTATAGTATTAAAAGAACTAAATACTTCCCCGGACATGCCAAAGACAGTTTCTCTTTGGTTGGGAATATGTAGCTTAGTGAGAAAAGGTTCCTTACAGACAAGGGGCCTCCTGAGAGCAGAAATAGGAATCCATTAACCTGGTAATTGACACATACAGTATATGGAACAAGTTATAGGTTTATTCCATGCTGAAAAAAAGAAGAAACAGAACACAACGTTTCGGCCATGGAGCCTTCTTCAGGTTTTTTTTTTTGAGGGAGAAACCTGACACCTGAAGAAGGCTCCACGGCCGAAACGTTGTGTTCTCTCTCTTCTTTTTTTCAGCATGGAATAAACCTATAACATGTTCCTTTGCAGCCTACGCATGCTGACGCAGCTACCCACCTGAACTACATACAGTATATGTTCCATGGGATGGTAATAATGACCCTTATCTAGGCCATGTACACATTCCCAGAGTAGAGAACAAACTGCACTTACAGTATGCAGATATGAGTTACTAATGCATTCCAACAACTACAGCAAATTTGCATTTAGGTATCATCCTAATCACTCTCACATGTTACAGCTTTCAATTTGGAACTGTAAAGTTAGGGATGCATAATTGCAGTTTATAATTAAATAAGCAGATGTTCATGCATTTATAAAGTATCATGGATGGAACAAGCTATCTTCTGCACAGATGCCTAAGGTTAGGGGTAGGGGTGATTCCAGCTATGGTCAGAATTAGGGCTTTGTTACCAACTTGCAATTAATCTACAGCAGAGGTTGTTTATGACATTTACATCTCTATTAACACTTTAGTAACATATTTAAATTCTAAAATGTTTAAAATGGCTTTTGCCAGTCTAAAGTGTTACCGGATAAACAATAGGCGCACATTTAAAGACAAATCATACCAAAACCACATCTCAGCAAAGAAACAAAACAGAGCGGAGCGCTCCACTAGAGCTGGAAATAACGGAAGATGCAGAACGCCTCAAGACATGATCATTAACATAATCAGCTAATTCACTTTCTAAATCTGCTCACACGTCTGCCCGGAAGGCTGTTTTGCTGTGGGCATGCCCCATTTAAACAAACTGATGCACCACATCATACGGATTTTGATACAACTTTTCTCTTTCCAAGCAATTCAAGTACTACTCAGGAAAACAACAGCAATTTCTCTGAATCTTCATACAATATATGGACAAGGGACAAATCTCACTTAATGTTTAGAACATACCCGAAGAGGGCTCCGCTGCCAAAACGTTGCGTTTCTTTTCTTCTGTCTTCAGCAATGAATAAACTTTTGCATGTTTAGAACATGGATTCGTGTGATATGTGCCTGACACCCTATGTTGTGAAAGATAAAATGTACAGCAAGCTAAGCATTTCAATCTCCAGTTGTATTCTGTTGGCTTTAACTAGCTCTTAGTACCAAAAACACCAACTTTGACAGAGGGGCCTTAATGACCACATTTTGTGAATTACGCAAGAGGGGGCTACCTTGTTCACCACAACTCTGGAAAACCTAACCCTCCTGTAGCTTCAGAGGATCGAGAAACTTCAACAGGAAAATTGTTTTTTTTTTACCATTACCCACATACTCACTTGGCAGTCTGGACCGAACTTTCCGGTTTTCCTCCTTGCAGTGGCTTGCTACGGATAAAATGAGCCTGTAGGCTTTCTTGTTCTGAGAAAATGCCAGGTGTTCCCTAACGGGCCATTCTCTGAGGGCCTCATGGTAGAGCAGCCAAAACAGACGTACGTCTGCCAAGACAAGGCAGCTTATTCATCTGTCACTTTGCTGTGGGACCCTGTGCTGTAAAATGAGACAAGTGTAGGCAGAGTTGGAAGTACTAAGGCTTGTTAAAGACGCATGTGCCAAGCCTAGATTCCCACCAGCCTGCTTACACTAGCATCTGCATGTTCTGGGATGATCTGCTACTGTATATGTTTATAAAGTGGCTATAAGAAATATTTATACACAAGGATGAAAGCACTAAATGGGGAGAAGTGGCCATGCTTGTAATGAAGCTACTGTTAACATGTTACTTGTAGATCTTTGGATTCTAGTTCTTTATCTGCACATTTGTTCTGAGGTTCATGGCTTTCCATTCTCATCGCCAGGCCTTCTTCACTGGTGTGTACAAATGCGTGGCTGTAACCACTTGTCAATCGTACTGTGCAGATAATCACTGCATGCAGAAGTATTAATTACACCTCTGGCCATATCCATAAAGCACTACCTGCCATGTGAGATATCTTCCTCTATTTGCTTCTCAATACGAAAAAAAACACTTCGAGGTTGCAACGTGTTCACAATATTCCTTGACACTAAATTGAAGAGTCCCTTTAAAAATGGTTTCTAATTTGCACTTGGAAGGATTTCTCCCCTCTTTCTAAAAACTCACTGCAGTAAACTCAAAGCATGGTGCAAAGGGCCTTATGAGTAGAGAGCCTGATCTCTGGTAAGCCTCAATTGCAGGGTGCCAGGGCAGTCCTGTTTGCGTGCATCAGTCCTGGGTTTCTGAAGGCAGCTAGCCCTGAAGCCAAGCTTTGGGAAAAATTACTGTGAATCTTGGGAATTTTTTCTGGGGAATTAAATCTGGTATGAACCCAAAAGAGATGAACCATCACTCAAATAGCATAATAACTTTGAAAGAACAAACCAAAAGGTATCCACACAGGATATGCAGTCTTGATAGTCATTAGCTGGCCTGTAGACTCTCAATTACAGGCACTTACATTACAGCCATGACTAAATTCCCCTGCCTGAAGAATAAGACATATCATATGATGCTCATCTGCTTCTGTTGCTGAAACGGTTGATTTCCTTAATGGAGAGTCCGTATCTTCCTGCCAAGATCTCTGTCACTTTGTGCCTTTTATCATCTGAATGTGCAGGACTATTTTATTTTTTTAGTCCACTCTTCCCATATGCCCTTGTGTTGAGGGAGCAGAAAATTTCTCTCAAGCATTCTTGTTATTTCTGGGATAGGTGTTTTTCACTTCTTTCAGAGTGTGGAATATCCCCGTCTCTGGTAGCATGGCTTCAGGAATACACGCAAAGCAATCATCCCAGATCAACCTGAAGACAAAGGTCCAGGAAGAATGCTGAAAGCTGTAAGAAATGAGGATTTTTAACACAGCCAAAAAAAACAAACAGAAGAAAACTTTTTTGAGCTCTGACTGTTACTAATTTGACCGATGCTTTTATCCAAAACAGCTTACATTTGCACCCATTTATACAGCTTTAATACAGCTAGGCATATTACGTGGAGCAATTTAGCTGAAGCACCTTGCTCATGGGTACAAGAGCAGCTGTAGGACAGCTAGCTCCTTTCTACCTAGAACCAAAACCTGTAGTAAAATATCAACTTTACAGCACCTCCCAGAGAGAGACTCCTTAAATCACTGGTCTTCTGACCTCTAACCACTCTTGTCTGACTAGTGACAAAAAGTGATGCACAAACACCTTTATGGCTGTAGCCTCAACCAGGGCAGTCCCCAGGACCTGCACACACAACAACTGACAATAGCCACATAGAGAATTCTGGGAGCCATAAGTGTGTGTCTTTTCAGGTCTCTCACACACACACAGACACACACCAGGAAAACCAGCATTCCCAAATCCCTAACTACCACAGGAACCATGCTTTCTCTTGATATACCGCTCCCCTGTGAGAATGTGAAATTCTAAACGCTTGATCAATTAGCCATTAAACTCAATCACCCCTAGTGTGGCTATTTACAAATAATTAGATGCTGTATAGCAGTCACTAGTGGTAGGCTGGGTGTAACTGCGGCCCCCTTTTGAGACTGCAGGCCACTAGACCCTTATATATAGTACAAATGCAGCACTATGTGAAAACGCGTTCCATGAAAATAGCAATTGCCTGCAATCAGCAATCACTGAACTGTTTGCACACGTTGGAGTCTTTCCACTTTCCTGTCGGAGGCCTTTTGTATCAGGTGCTTTGTCCCTGCAGTCCCTTCCCCCAGTTCCACAAGGAGATTCACCACTATATCTAAATATTAAACAAACTCAAAGAGTTCGCTTTCAAAGTTTTGTCAATAACTTCAATTGCAACATCCAAAGAGGCTACATGAATAAGCGAAAGTTGGCAGCAAATCAGAAGACTTTCAAAGCTCCAGATGTAATGTTTGTCACAAAGAATTACCATGTTGATTACAGTTTTAATGAGATGCAAATGATATGCAAATCAGAGTCGATTAATTCACCCTATATGGGTTAGCTTGAACACTAGTCGCTTTCACATGCTTTCACTTCGACAAGAGATGGCAACCTATTACCTGACAAGAAGACACAACACAGATGATGCCTTGGAAACATTTAGTGTCTTTTGTAATTCAAATGATATGCAAATTGCATGAGATAAGCCATGTATAATCACATAATATAAACCACTGATGGCAGTCCTGAATGCTATTTGACTGTTGACAGGGAATATTAAGTGTCAGAAATACATTCAGCGGCATTCAGAGGAAGTAGACCTGGGATGGAACTTTTCTTTAAAAAAAAAACTTGCCTTTGCAGTTTTACTCAGGTAAGTTGGTCAGGTTCCTCGCTTGCATGGCTATCCAATCATTTCGAAATCCTGCCAATAACTGGATCCGCTCATAAACTACCCTCTTCGTTAGTCTCTCCTCAACAGGGTGTGATTATGTGCAAGGAAGTACCCCCTTATCAGACCAGCCACTGAATTTGTTGCATCTCTCAGTATTAACAGGATTATTGTGAATGAAGCGGCCCTCTGTTCCTTCGGGTGCCTTGCAATTATCAGTGCTCAATTGTGGAACCATCCATCTCATTTGACAGCTTAACTATGATAACCGCAAGCCTCCTCCGCAGAGGCAGCTGTGCCGAGATACGGGAAATAAAAAAAAATGAATGAAAGAAAACAGAAATGATTCCAAATACACAAGAAAGATGCTAGAATGTAGGCTTCAGTTGGCACAAATTGTGCTGTTAAGCCCTGTAAGTTAGTTTGACCTAAAATGGTGCTAGAATCATTTCATTTCTCTTTGAAGATTTATTCATGGAGAGGGGACAGAACACGCAGGTGAGATCTGTGAGCTTGTGCTGACAACAGCAGATAAAGTCATGGAGAAAACTACTGGGAGGCACTATATGGGCGGTGTGGTGTCTCTGGGGCTGAGGATCTGTGCTTGTGGCTGGAAGGTTGCTGGTTTGTATCCTGCGACAGGCAGAGGAATCCTACTCCGTTGGGCCCCTGAGCAAGGCCCTTAACCCCAACTGCTCCAGGGGCGCTGTATAAATGGCTGACCCTGCGCTCTGTCCCCAAGCTTCTCTCCCTGTCCGTGTCTCATGGAGAGCAAGTTAGGGTATGCAAAAAGACAAATTCCTAATGCAAGAAATTGTATATGGCCAATAAAGTGATCTTATACTGACATTCTTATTTCAGTACATCTTCCTTCTTATAGAAAGGCCCATCCTTGCCATGTTTGCTGGTTTTATATTAAGATTATTTCAAATTTGAGTTCAACAGTTTGAGGTGTTGCAGGTGACCTGAGTTACATTACAGGTGCTCATTAGAAAAAAAAAAACATACAAAACTGAAGCTTTTTCCTTTCATTAAGGGAAGAATAACCCACTCTGATGTTGATATATTGATATAAGTAAATCTCATTACCCAGCGTTTACCTCATTCAGGAGTTTACATTTGCTTTCCAAAACTTTTAAGCATTTATAATAAAAATGTCAAGAAGTTTCCCGTTCTTGAAACGCCCTGCAGACCTCTTGCATGCTCCCTCTCCCTGATCTGGGCTTATCCCCTGTGGGTCTTCTGACTTTTCCAATGAAGAGAGTTCACATGGGGTCTAATTAAAGCAATGGTGAACTTTTAAACTGAATATGTAATGGAATTAACATAGGTCAAGGAGATATTTTTTCATTGGCAACGGAAAGCAAAGTTTATCTAATCCCCAAGCCTTTAAAATGTTTATATTCTTAACAGTACTGTCTTTGCACATGTGGAAATGTCACAAAGCTTTAATGGGCAATACATATCTTCAGAACATGAAAATATATGTTTATATGTAGGTATATAAATACTTTTTTAATGTCCTGTGTCATTGTTTAAAGTTTAACTGGGAAGCACAAAATATCAAAAGTGAACACTGTAGGTGTAATATCTGTAGCGTTCCATGTATTCAGTGCAGTTTACAGTCACCATCTCTTCATTAGATAATTTATCAAAACATATTCATTACCTTTTGGGAGTTTTATTACACTAATTCAAATTAATATATCTGTGATTATTGGACACTACATACAGTTCTTATATTGCTTTTCTGTTGAAAAACATTTGGATAAGGATGTTTCATTCAGCAACTGGTGAAAATGTCAGGTGGTGAACAGCAGGACTGAAATGCGAGTTAAATGGGCTCTGGAATGAGTAATCAGTGTCACCTGTGCTGGAGAGCTTGACGAGGCAAAACTCTCAGTAGACATGATGTAAAGTGACAAGCAGCTGGCCTCATTTAGAAATGACCAGATTCCAAGTGTTTTCTACTGGGAAACCAAATAGGTTAAAGGCAGGTTTTAAAGGGACATCACCTTACAAAAAAGAAACCCTGGAAGACAAAATATGTAATCCCTGGCCATCTAATTATGTTAATATGTATACAATTCTATGTTTTTTTTACCAAGGCACCTCCACTTCACAAGACAGAACACTATATTTTCCATGTATACAGGAAAGTCCGTCTTTAGAAACAAACACTTATCTGTGTAGTGCTTTTAGCTGAGTGCCATTCCATTGCAATTCCTTATTTCTTTATGACATTTCACTCACTCTCTCTTTACTGAGTGGCTCAGAGGAGCTGAATGTGTACCTTAATGTCTTTTAAGTATTGATCAACAAATCCTCCCAGGAATTAAGACATTTTAATGTACGGGAAGGCACATACATACTGTATATAGAGAGTTGACAGCAGCTTTAACACCTGCTAGCCTGATCTTGATAAACTGGGCTGGACTTGGTCAATACTGGGATGGAAGACTAGCAAAGAAAACCAGGATGCTGCTGTAAGCGGTGCTGCTAAACCAGTAGGTGTTGGTCTTTCTTCTGCAAATTTCCAAACTAGTGCAGTAGTAGGGTGACTTTGGGGGAGGTGTGCTGTCATTTGGATGAATAGACATTAAAGATCCCAGGGAACTGTTCATAATGTTAGGGATGTTAGTGTCCTTACTACTTTTTATTAATGAACCTGTGGCACAACTCAAAAAAGTAGAGGCGTTAAAGCCCACCGCCCTTGCTAAATTCCACACTGAACGCTACCTACTGACATTTAATGGACCTCCATCTACCACTCCCAGACAGACGGGATTTTGTAGTCAAGGGAGCATTAAAATTAATGAAGAATGTTCAGACGGGCATTCACAAAGGAAGGCCAGGCCCAGGACTCATGACTGCTCCTCCTGGGAGATTGCACAAGCCTCTGTGGGGTACTTACATCAGCTTTCTTTCTCAGATGACTGCACAATGGGGGGAAAAAAAGTCTGGTTGGGACCAAAGCCAGAAAGAATTAAAGGACATACCACATGCTTGACTTTGGACAGGATAGATCACTCCTGTAAAGATGTGCAGATCATGTCGGTTTCTAATATTTTGACTAGTAAGCATATATGACCTAAGACTTTATAGCTGTGCTTCCTGGTCTTTATCAAGTGAGAGAGTAATTATAAGAGAACTCCAAACATACAATTTGACGAACACAGAAGTATCAGCTGGCTTTGACTTGCAATATTATATAAGAGATTGTACAAAATACTTAAACATCAGTTGCATAAATGTAGAAAAACTGGGAAACTCTTTTTGAACAGTCTCATTTAAATCCTGCAGTGCTCTGTGCTATTGTACAGTGGGATTTCGTACAGTCTATCTTATAATACAATGGGAGAAAGTATTATTCTTCTGGGTTGTTAAAAACTGTGAAGATAAAATTTAGCTGACGGGAACTGGGGATAAGGAAAATAATATTTCAACGAGATTTGTATAGCACAAGGAAATTTAATCCAAGCAATCACCACTGGGATCTGGCTGAGTGGTCAGAAGATGTTGTTTTGGGCTGATACACAGTATCAGTCAAGTAATTTCACAGCAGAATTTTACTGGGCTCACAGAAATGTGTACTCTAGCATATTGGCACCTTATGTTTCAGATTTCTTTTAAACAGATATCTATTAATAAGTGCTATGGGTTTTTAAAACCTTTACATGTGAAAAATATAAAGGCAAGCTCTAACAAAAGTTTGAGCTACACAGATGTGCCAGTTTTGAAAGAACTATCAGAACTATCATCCTGGACAGTAAAAAGATTTTCAAAGGTTTGATGTCTGGCAATTGATTTTGCAGCATGTATGTGGTGTGATGTACTGTATCAGCTTCTCCCAATTATTTTTATTTCTGTTTTTTCAACACATGTCTGCTGTTTTTCAGGAAAAGCAATACTTTTGGCCAAAAGGTTCTCTAAAATCCATGGTATGCATATAACTGAGCTTGAGTTCCACATTTTCAATGCTTTCTTAGCTCTGCAGAACCAAAGGACTTCACATTTTCATTCAATTTGACCTCCTAATGGCTTAGTTGAATACACTGGTGGTCAAAATTACCCCTGCTTTCATGGCTTTGTCTCCTGAGTATTTTCAACTCACCTATAAAATGCTAAGGAGCTCCGGGAGGGAGCACTGCTGCATTTAAAGTGATAGATTGGCATTCACACCAGCCAAGTTTTGAAATCATTTTCATGTGTTAATTCATGCAGGGTGAGCAGGGTTCAAGGCACACAGTGCTGCATCTTCTTAGCTGTTGGCGAATTTGAATTGTGCCCATCTGTACGAGTTCTTCTTGAAGGTACTTTGAAAGATTAGATGCTATAAAAGAATGGGCTCACCTGCTTGAAACCTTCTTCTGGATTTCTGAATATGCTTCAGGGGTGTATGAACTGATTAAATGCAGCTGAAAAGTTAACGACGCAGCCCGAAGTTGCACATGTGGAATTTTAATGGGCTTGAATAAGGTACAGCGAGAACTCGGATTCAAAGATTCACTGGGTCGCCACTATATAATCACTTTGTGCAACCACCTGGCTAATTGCTCTAAATGGCGTTTTAATAGAACTACCGAGAAGAAAAAAAGGGAAAACTTTGCTGGAGGCTTTCGATTCTCTTTGGCTTTGATATTTGTATTATTGAGACGTACCATAATATGTAATTTGCCAACGATAAATCAGCCACATTTAAATTTAATTACAACATGGAAACAATGCAAATGACCCTTTACAAGCACACTGCTACAGCTTTTGTCACCCAGACAGGGTACAGTTACTAGGAAACGAGAGTTTTATTAAGTGGTCTGACAGATTACAAACACCCACTTAAAAATGGCCTAGCAGGCTGGATTAACCAGCAACTGGTAATACAGCTCCACAGACCTGATGTGGGATCAACAACTTTGAAACCTAGAAAAAGTTTAATATTTTACTGTAAAATATTACAGTAACACAGTCAGCAATGCACAAGAACAGAAAGTCCCCAATGCCCTACGACGCTCAATCACTGATAAAATACCTGTCCGGGACTCTAAACTGAATAAGAAACAATGCCCTGTCCTGTTGCCTTTAATCCGCTGTGACTCCTAAAAAGGATATCAAAGAAAGAGATGAGAGCAGCTAGAAGGATGCTCCTTATGCAGGCCCCAGCTGGGATAGACCTGCACTAATGGAGTGGCCTCTCTCCACCACTGCACACCAGCTTGAGCTCTGTTACACTACCACCCAGATCAGCCCATTAAGAGACACAGTCAAGTCTCTCTGGAACTACAAAAACCCACGCCCACTGCCCCCTCCTCAGATTGGCATTATTCCACTTTCAGACGATCTAATTGGATGCTGATTCATATGTTTTGCAAACCATTACAAATTGCCTCATGGCTGTGTCAGAAAGTACTACAGAATAATGGAAGAGGGTTAATTATTAATGCCTCCTTTCGTACGGTCCTTAATCCCCCCCTGTTCTCTCTCTTCTTCTCCTGTTAACATGTGAACCCAAAGGCCAAAACTGTCAAAAGCAGATGCTCCTTTTTTGTAGGATTAGAGCTATTCTTAACATGATCAAGTCCAATATGTAATTAAATCCTTACGTTACCAGGCCTGACCTCAGTGTTTTGTACGTGGCATGATCAATTGTAATTTGTCTCCATAATCTATATTAATTATGTATGTCACTTGCTCAACCCTTTTTTTTCTAAAAGCACACAAATGGCACTTTGAAATGTGCCTGACAGCAAATTGAAACACTAAGCTCTTTTCAAAGCTATTATTTAAAGTTATGTCGATGAAGGTCAGTGAAGAATTAAACATTCTCAAAAGGAGACAATGGAAGTCTTCAAAAGGTGAGGATATGTATTTACGGTTTTACAGAAGTATTAAAACACTAACCCAAAATACACAAGATGATTTTGTGAGATTTATTCTCAGCAGGAAAAAACGACTAGGTTTTTCTGCTCAATTGAACAAGCAACTCACAGGGAATAAGCAGAGACAAAGTGAAATGTGTAAATGTCAAATTTAACTATTTTATTTTAGATTTAAGGGTCACATTTAGGCACGTGTTCCATAGAAGTGACGAGGGCAAATTCCCTTGCTGTTTTTATTTCTTGGCTATATCAAAGCTCTTGGTCATCTACTGGAAAAATATAACCAGTGACTTCTGGGATTTTTCCAAAAGCTTCCTGAAAACCCAGTCGGCCGAGTTTCAGACCTCTTCTATATATAAGTAATAACACATGGTGGGAGGCTTCAGCAGATCAGCCTTCATTGATCCTTCACAGCTTTCCTGGAGATCTTACCACCAATCCACAGCTCGTCACGTCCACTACTCAGCAGATAGAGAAACTGCACGATTTCAAGCCCCTCTCTTCAGAGGTCTAGAGAACCAGAGGACATGGGCTCTTTTTCTCAACAGAGGCCACCCAGACATCATGATGCCACAGCTTAGGGGGCAGAAGAAAACCTGTTGTTGTCCTCATTTTCAAAATATCTGATACTGTATGTACTTTTTTTTTAAAAATGTTAAAACAAATGACAGCAGCATCACCACCTTGTAGCCTGATCTCATTACATAACAGCAACTCAGCAAGACTGGGCCTGGTCAATACTGGGATGCGAGTCCTTTAAGGAAAACTAGGTTGCTGGTGTCAGTGGACCAGCAGGTGGTGCTCCTCCCTCCACACCACAATTTCCAAACCAAAGTTCCATTCTGGGGACTGAAGACACTGCTGTAGTTGGTACCACCCCTCAGATAAGATGTTAATCCGAGGTCCTGCCCGTGTTTATGAACCCCCCATGCCACAGCTCAAAAGAGAACAGAGGTTAAGCTCAGTGTCCTAGTTTAATTCCTCTCTGCGGCTTAACAATCTGGCCTCCCTAAAGCTCCCCGTTTATTCAGTCGGTGAAGCAGTTTCTCATTCCTCCACCTGCTCTGCTGAGCAGTGAGGCTCCTGGAGTGTAATGATTGTCATGAATCTCCTATGTGACTGTTATCCCTTCTTATATATCCTAAGTGGGATCCTTCAGGACGAAAAGAGCTTTATAAATGCAATTAATTATCTTTTTATCAACACGTGTACTGCAATATCCTCACAAGAGCTCTCCTAACATAGCCCTTGCTTTCTTTCCTGCAGGATTCCAAAAGGTTAACAGCCTTTAAAGAACAGAAATGGTATATGAAGAAGGGCGGTCAGGAAAAAAAAGACTTTTTTTTTGCAAATCTCTTCCTTTTTATTTTGGTTAGCAGCGATCTGACAGCTCATTTGTCTGGAGTGCCTTAAATTCAGAAATCATAATTGAGAGCTGCCACAGGACTTCGGCTTTGATCTCACTGATCTGCTGAAGCATGTCCTTCCTATTACCTCACCCTTTAGGGACTGACCTTGCAAAGGCAACTCTACAGGCTTAATCACAGCTGCTGGGGTAAATCAATATAAAATATGTTTAATGCAGTTCTTTATGACAAAACTGCTCTTCTGACAGTTTTTTTTACATCAATATATATACACAAGTTTTAACTTAGTTCTGCTGAAGAGGAAAACATATTTTATGGGTAACACTTTAAGTAGTCTGGTATCAAAATCCTGAGTGGTCAGATAGTATCTTTTTTTTTACAACAGGACTTTCTTTGCATTTATTAGACGTTTATTGGATGTGCTTTACAAATGTTATGAGGTCAAGATGCAAGTTAATAGACCTTCTGATGTTTATGAGATGCCAACACACTGTAGTCGGATGTAATGAGGAAACACACAGGATTAGTTTAAGAATAAAGCAGCATATTCTTAGATGAGATGCTATTTCATTTAAGCTAAAGCATGAATCAGCAAATGAACAAGAGGGCTCAGATACTTACCTCTACATACAAAATAGGGAAGATCCCAATTTTATCTCCCAACATTCCCTCTGCCCAGTTGTCGTCCACTCTCCTTATCACAGTCAGAATTTCATCCTTAAGTGGGGAAAAAAGAAAGGAGTTTGAATGCTTACATTTTCTACTGTTTCTTATGCTTTTGATTACTATATTTAAAGTTTTCCTCTCATGTATGTCAACGTTTTTAATAACCTAAAATTGAACAGTAATGTGCCAAGGTTTGAACGGCATTAAGAAAGTACTGACGGTCATTATACTCTCATACCAACTATGTTCTTGTAACTCACAAAAGACTTAAGACTTTAGTTATAGGCTGAGCCTGAGCGCAGAGTTGCTATTGTTAAATTATTTTATTTTTGTATCACACTCTTTTTGTATTGCATATCAAATAACATTTCTAAAGACCCACAGAATAAAGGACACAAAAATGCTGTTCATAAAGAAACACTTCAAATACCAAATCAGAAAATGTTCTCCTGAGACAGTTAATCATATAACAGAAATGTATTTAAGCCCATTCATTACTTGTGTCAAGGTCTGCATTTATTAAAGCATTTTCTTAATGTAATTCACTTTGTGCAATAATTTGTTTAGGGTAATAACTTAATTCCTTCACTGAATATTATGACCACAATAACATAATTAATATAATGCCCATTAATTGCACATAATATGCACAGTAATTATATGTTGCTGTTTTCAATAAGCACGAATCAAATGAGAATAATAATGCAAAACAGAATTATGCATTTGATCAGTGGTTGACTGATGATGACTTTTGATGCACTGTGATAACAGACTACAAGATTATTTACTTAGTGCTACATCATAGGCACATCTGCTGGGCAAAATTCAATTAACAATATTGTAAGTCAGAGGTCGCCATCCCTTCTCCTGGAGAGCATCAGTCTAGTTAGTCTTGTAGGTCACCCTGAATCAGAGATCTCCAAACCTTGTGCTAGGGAGCCCAATCCGATTAGTCTTGTAGGTTACCTATTAATGGCTATTGATGAGTCACAGCAAGTCATCTGCTCGATCAAGACAACTCTGGTCCATGAGGGCTAAAGAGTGCTTCTGTTTTAGTCCTAAATTATCTCTAAATTACTTAATTTAACAAATCACCTCTTTTATTGATCAAAATGGAATTGGTTCATGTCTTTAGAAATTAAGTTAATGGTGACCTTGCAAACCTCCATGACAAGGGTTGGAAATTCCTGGTGTAATTCTTTGTTAGTGGTAGTCTCAAGTACCCAAGAGAGGAATAAGGTACAACTGACTGTCTCATTCTTTATGTGTCAAAAGCTTCTCAGATCTGGGTGTGCCCAGTAGATCTTAGAGACCCTCAGGTAGGGCTGGGCGATATAGCCAAAAACATTATCACGATAAAAATGTCAAATCATTATTTCTTTCAGGTTTAAAGGCAGATTTTTTCTCCTGAGTGAAAGTTGAAGAAACCAGTTAATTGGGAAATTAAAGAACTCTTTATTTTAAGAACACAACAAACACTTGCCAAACAGCAGAAACATTAAACACATCCGAGGTAGAGAGTATTCAAGCCTTTTTTATGTCAAAATATGCAAGAGTAAAATTTACAAAATAAATATCTTAATAGAAACATTAAATACTGCAGTGTGATAAAACACACATAGAAGATGGCTCAGACAGACTGCAAAGTTTAAAGTGCTTTAAAGGATCATGTCAGAAGTAGTGGCGATGAACGGCACCGTTTGCAGCTACCGCTCTACCATCTCCCTACACTCTGCGTACAGCCCAGGAAGTGCAGTCAGTGCAAAATGTTTCCGACCAGGTAGCTCGTATCTGGGGTCAAGGACTCTGATAAGCTTCTTGAATCCCTCATTTTCGACAGTGATAATGGGAAGCGTGTCTTTTGTAATGCAATATGCAACTGCATTTGTGATGTCTTCATGCATGCACACGCATATCATGCGCAAAGCTTTAACATATATATCAAACATTTATCAAACTTTTGTTAAAATTATATTGAGGAAAATTATCGTTATCGAATTATCGCCCAGCCCTACCTTCACGAAGTTCAAATCTAAGACTAGTGCTAAATGATGACTATAATGCATGCTGGTATTCTGCAGGAAAATTACACGTTAAATCCAGGAAAGAGACTGTCTGCCCTTTGTCTAGGTTTTTTCTCATTAAGCGTTGAGACCTAGGTAGATCACCGGGATTTAACTGTGCTTCCCTCCTTAAATTACCCTCCCGTGGGGAAGTCTACGTGAATACAACTTGAAGGACATGGTTGTGACTCACTCATATGGAGAGATGTCAGGGTTTCTCAATTGTCTGTGGTAAGGATACTACAGGAATACAAGAAAAGTCCTCAATTACAATACGGCTCTGCGCCTGAAACCCAGATCAATATGACAGCTGTGATGCAAAGGCTGACGTTAATAAGAACAGTGTGTGCGACAGTGGCATCGTGAATCGGCATCTCTTCTAAAACAGAAGACTGCACAGATCGTTGCTCCTGCCAAGAGAGTGAGAACAAGGCAGGAGTTTAAAGGCAGGAGTTTGCTAACAGACAAAAACAACCTGATAAAAACCTTACAGGTAACATAAGAATCTTAGTTGATACACATTTCCCTCACAAGATAAAAACAAACAACTTGACCATATCATGTCTGCGGACACAACTGTCGTGAAACAGTTAACTGCAGTGTAATTGCACCCAAAGTCTATTTCTTATAGATCACCTTTTTTGTGCACTGTCTAAATGTTGATAATGATGATCATTCCTGGCATCTCCCCAAAGATCATTAACGTCAAACAACGCAAATGGCTCTCATGCTGCACTCCTGGGTGTTTCGTGAAAGAGAACTCGGAATGTATTGATTCTCTCCTACCTCAGAACAAAAGCCATCTCAAAGTGTTAGAATCCCCTGGCACGGCTATACTGGATAAGGTTTCAGCACAATATCTGAGGACTATTATATTGCCTGAAAATCCCTAACATTAGTCAGTGGCCTCTTGTTGATTACAATGTACTTTCCACTGGAATAAGATCTGTGTGTCTGTAACAGAAGAGTCAAGTACAAATAAACGTTAATACCTCTGTTGTGAAAACCCACAGCTGCTGTCATTCTCCATTATTTTTCATATTCTAAGCTCAAACTATTCATTTAAATGGTATAATACGCAGTTCCTGAACTGCCTTTTGTGTTACTCTGAAAGTGAAGTTCTTCTAGAGTTCATCTTTCCTCTCAGACTTCCATTTCATGCCATGTTGCTTGAATATACTGGAGCTGAAGTAACACATCGCAAATTCTCTGTTATTTTAGAGCTTACAATATAAAACCTGCAGACCTTTCCAAAGTTAGGGGGAACTGGAACAAATAATGGATATTGTTATTTGCGCATACTTGAGCAGCAGTTACTTTTTGCGTTTTGCTACTTCAAACCAGGCACATCATTCTTCTCCTTCTGGTTAAGATATACACTCCCTGTAGATCTTTAAAGGACTGAAGAAGGACAGTTCTTTATTAATAAGTTGTCTTCAGCTGTCATACAGAAAAGACTTGCACATCCATTTTTTCTTTTTGTTTTAGCTATACAGCAGTGGGCGATACACATAAACAATCAAGCAGTGCCTCATAATTACTTGAATTTGTTGCAGTTAAGGGATTTCAGGAGAAAGGGAGGCTTGGGGAATATGTTTTGCTGCTATAGGTACTCCTGGGACTCACTCCTGTTCAGCATCTCACATGTAACACTTCACAGCCCTGAAATATTCTCCTAAAAATGAAGAACAGCTTTTTCCCCACTGTGTCCTCATTCTGCTCAGTGAAGAAAATGCACTTCTATGACCCATACTATTTTTGTGTGTGTGTGGGGGTGATAATGAGAGAAAACAGAGACTGTGGTCTTGCAAGTTTCCTTTCCAATGTGGCACAAGAGCATTCCAATGACTCACAAGAGCGTATAGTCTTTTTATCTGCCTAGACAAGCCAAGATAAACTGGGGAAAGCAAATTATTTACTTTGAGGCCAAGATGGAACAGTTGGGAATACAAATAAGGTGTTGAAGTGCCAGATTCTCAATTGAGCGATCAAATATATGCCTCTTTTTTCTATTGGAAATGTATTTGTGGAAAGGTAGTGTCTCAACTGTTGTAAAATGATGAAAGCAATCACTCCTTTGTGATTTCTCAATTCAGATATAATTATACACATTATGCCAAAGCTCTGGGTATCTGGGAATTGGTTCACTGACTGCTTAATTCACTCTCAACATCACTGTCATCCTCAAAGAGATATGGAACAGGATAAAAAGAAATGCAATTCATGCTTTGTTTATGACACTGCAGTGCATAATTAGAATTTTTCAGCTATACGTATTCGAATCTGATCTCTTAGGTTTTCAAACATCTGAAAAAGAAAGCACAGATATATTGTGTCTGTATTAACTAGACTAACATTGGAAAAACCCATTTCTCATAACATGGATGAAATGTTTTTTATCACTGTCATGAAACAAGATTAGTTTGTGAAACATTATCCTATGTAAAACTTCACACTTGGATTTTAGAAAATGTTTAAATCCTGTATCCAGAATTTCAAAAAACTTCCAAAACTCTAGATTAAAATGAACAAGAATTAGCTTACAAAAATATGAAAGATGTGTGGTTGTAAAATACCCCCATCTTTATTTGGAAATGTAAGTACTGTTAAAGGAGAAAAACTTTTATGTTCTATCTGGGAAGGTCTATACTGCTGCCTTATACAGTAGTATATTTTCATATCTGTGCTCCCAATGAATAAAAAAGGCCCTTAAAAGAAAGACTTCTTTACTACTTGTATTAACCAATTAACCTTCCACCCCAAGACACCACTTGTTCGCTGTAGATGAATTACTTCATAAGACATCTCCATTTGACTTAAAGGTTTAAGGCTCAGTCTTTTACATCCAGTTTTTGTGAAATTTAAACACAAATGATTTTGTTCAACTTTTATCATTTTAAAATTTTGCATGCAAGAAACACTATTAAATTGCTCTTACTTTTAAATCCTCAGTCTTAAATACTCTAAGCATTCCAGTTTATCTTCAAATGATCTGAAAATCACTTAATTAAAGAAACCACTTGCAGAATAGATCAGAGAAACTGCTCCAGGCCTTTTCAAATTGAAAATTGAAAGGTTTCCTTACAAAAACCCCCTGGACAGTCCCAAGATGCCATATTATTAAATTCTATTTTGTTAATCTAAAAAATGTAAAGCAAAATGTTTTTGAACACTTGTTGCAGAAACCAGTTCTGGTATTAGACCGTTTGCTTACCACTGTAATGAGACTACTGCTTTGACTACAGGATGTGATCAGAAACTCCAGCCAATCAACCCATTTTCTTAACTTTATCCAATTCAGGGTAATGGGGGAGCCTTTCCCAGCAAGCAATGGGGACAAGGCAGGAAACACTCTGGACAGGATGCCTGACTCAGGACACACACACACCTGGACACAAAACGCACACACTCACACCAGGGCCAGTTTGTCTTTGGACTGTGGGAGCAAACCCGAGCACCCAAAAGGAATTCCACATGAACATAGGAAGAACATACAAACTCCATACAGACAGCAACCCAGGTCCCAAAACGGAATTGTACCCAGGGCCCCAGCGCTGCGAGGCAGTAGTGCTAACCGCTGTGCTGCACGACCTGTACTAGATCCTACTCCAATGGGGCTAGTCTGCCCACTGGGATTACAGATACATTCTTTAATCTGCACACATTGCAGAATGAAGAACTCGTTCGTTTCTTGTGCCTTTTAAAAATTATTCGTGCAAATCAGTTTGAATAATCCAACTAGTATTGTAAAACAGAAAAGATTTTTTTTATGTACCTGTAAATCACTAGACAGACTGTATATGAGTATAGTGTTCATTTGGTATGAGAAGAATGAAATCTTGTAGCTTGAGCTTATCATTTAGGCACAGAACCAGCAAAAGATTACTACCTCCCTTGCACTGAGGAATCACAGAGGGATCAATCTGGTTAGCATTTTTAGTTCATGCATAACAGATGGAGAAGAACACATACTTTAATATTCAGAATCTTCATGTTGTATCAGTATTTGGAGATGGAATACTTACCATATTTCAATGTGTTTTTAAAACATTCTTGACTTTTTAAGTGTGTGAAATCACTTGCTTTATTTTGCTGAAACCGATGTGAAGGTCACTTGGAGATCTGCAACCTGTTTTTCAAAAAAATAATTCTGTTTCTAGTTGCGCATACCGCATCATCCACCTGGATCCCTGATTTATAAAAATGGGGGTGTTACAGTGTTTTCTAACATCGGTGCTCCACATGTTGAAATTCTGCAGGTTATCTGCCATCTTATTCCTAGGACATGTGAAACTTTCAGGCCTAGTGCTCTGTGCTACATAACTATGAAAACAGTTCATGCATCTGTTAAAAGCTATATTTAGACAATTAAATAGTTTTAATATAAGGGCATATCTGTAGCCACACATTATGATCTATTATTAAAAACATTTCTTCAGATTTCTTCTTGTGTATGCAATGCCACACTGTAAGATTTTTCAAAGTGAATTTATGACATTCAGGACCATCTTCAATATTACACTGAACTGTGGACTAAAATGAAAACGTCTTTTAAATTCCTTGGTATATCACTTTATCAGTCTGGTAAGCACTGTCATGCAAGGGACTGTGTTTAATTAAACATGCTGATCTCCTAATTGAGTTGTAATGAGATCAGGTCTCAAGGTGGAAACAGTAATTCTTCCTCTGGAAACGACTCAAGCAGAGGAGGAATCAGGAGCACAGAGCTGGGATGTGGTTGGAGCTCAGCTACCTAACTTTTCACAAGGTAGTCCAGTGGTTCCTAGCCCTGGTCCTTGGAGGAACACTGAGCTTGTGGGTTTTTCATTTCCAGGTGAAAATGCATCTCTGAAATGTAGCTCTGAGATCGGAGAAGCAACCTACACCTCCAACCTATGGCCTCACTGTTCTGCTTCCTGGTTTAGCTTTTTAGTCAACTGTTTTTTTCAGTCAGTAACAAGAGTCACAAAATACCTGGCTCCAAGGGTACTGTTTTTAACAGCTTCAGCACAGAACTATATGGAGCTTCTCCTCAACTTGTCAGCCATTACGTCTGACTAAACAGCTCTTACAGTGGGGACGACACTGTATCAGACACGTCCACATCCCACTGACACATTGTAGTCAACACACCTGAATGAGGGCAATTCTTAAAATCTAAACCAGGATTAATACATCTTACAAATCCCTTTTGACCTTTCAAGAGTCAAAATAAAATTCAAAATATGCACCAAACTGGAAAATGAAATCAGTTAATCAGTGATTAAGAATTTGTGTGGAAAAAAATATAACCAGGACAAGACCCAGCCCATTGCCTACGGGGCAAAAGGAAATCACATTGAAAATGGATTTGTTTCCATTTTAGTAGCACCCTACCGTATTACAAAAGTGGGCACGCAAAAAGTACCTATTTATATATATATAATCACAAAATCCAAGGTAAAACACAGGAATTGGAAAATTAAGTCTGCAACTGCCTTCTACATTTAGCCAGATGGTAATTTTGAGAAATGTTGCACCAGCTAAAGGCTTGAACTTACTTCTTCCACATCTTGTTTTCTGACAGTCTAACAGGTAAACGACAGAAACCAGCCTGCGGAACATGACAGGACACAAGGAGCAAAGTCAAAACTTCCACTCTCTCGTCCCGTCATGGGCACCTTTGCAAACCAATTTGAGGTGAAAAAGCACTTTCAGTTTTCAGGCAACACAGAACTGATTCAGCTGGCAATCTCTGTCTCGCGGATGCCCCCCCAGCCCCAGCTGTGCAGGCAGAGAAGCCAACAGTGCCCGAGACTGGCCAGTTCTTATAGGGAATCCCCCTGCCTTAGTCAGTCCTGTAGAGTGAGGGCACTGAAACAGTCCCGTCTAAATGATCTTTGGCGTTGAGACTCTTTGATCTGTCTTCAGGGCTTTGTAGAGCATTACATACTCACAACTCAGGAAAGCTTGCTACAGACAAGGGGGGACTGGACAGGAAAAGAAACGCAGAAGAGAGACCTAAGACCGCTCAGTGATATGAAATATGTTTCCATTCAGTGTTTTTTATACAATGGGGACAACAATAATGGTGAGTTTTTTTGCTCAAATGCAACTTTTTTTAATGCTTTAAGATTTTTGTAAATCTTAAGTAAACTACTAGGCTATATTAAAAGTACGGCAAACAGGTTTCAGTATCTTTGCCCCCAAGTAAGAAACCCTTTTCTGATTTACACACTTTAATGCTCAAGTTCATGAGATAAATTTAAAAAGCTTCACAAATCGGTTAAACATATTCTGGCTCTTCAAAAAAAAAAATTACAGAAGACCTCAATAAAAACTGAAAAAAACTCTGTGGAAAGTTATCTTGTCAAGCTCCTTGAGTGTCTGTATAAATAGAGCTTGATAAGAGCAACCCCCAGAAAATCATCAGCCAGATTCTAGTGCTTCCAAGATCAAAACATGCTGTATGAAATAATTTTAGGCTCACCAAACTTCATCCATACATCTTGTATTGTAAAGATCCTTATTCCTGGCAAGCACTGGACTATACCCTGGATGGGCTAGCAGTCCATTGCAGGGCACACACACACACACAGGCAGACAATTTAAAGAATCCCACTGACCCGGCCAGTGGGAGGAAACTTGGTACTGAGACACCAAGGTGGACATGAGAAGGATGCAAAGGATGCATGCAAACTCCACACAGAAGGCAACCCAGGAGAGAATCGAACCTGGGACTCAAGAGGTGTGAGGCAGCAGGACTAAACACTGCATCGTCATGCTGCATGCGTCACACTCTATCCCAATTTTAAATTACCATGTCAATGAAACAGGCTAAGGCAAAACCACTTTGTCTGCAACAGAACAAAAAACCTTAAAATGCAGCTTCATTTTCATATATTTTTCTTTGTTTGTTCTGCCCTGCTATTCAAGCACCTTCTCCTTAGCATTGTATTAAGCCGACATGACATCTTGGATCTTATAAAGGAAATCTGCAATCTGGGATTTAAACAATTTCTCGACCCCATTACCTTTGTGAAGGTCAGGCAGTCCTTGTCTTGGTCCTTGTCCTTGACCTCGAAGTCGTACAGCGCCTTGCCCTGGGGCGGGGGCTGGGAGAGTGGCTTGATGCACTGTATGTAGCTGGCCGGGAGGAAGCCATGGCTGCCATTCAGCTCGCCGTGGTACCAGTTCTCATCCACCTTCCTGTGCAAGATGATGACGTCACCCTTGTTAAACTTGAGGTCTCCAGGCTCTTTGCCTTCATAGTTGTAGAGGGCTTTTCCACAGGGCAGCTGAGGAACATTCTGGAACAGAGAGAGTGACAGGGCAATGAAGATATACATTAGCCTCACACTAGAAATACAGCCCTGTGAGAATCACTCATACCAGGGTACAGAGCTAGGGACTTCTGTGAATACTGCCATAGTCCCTTCAGTATGCAATGAGCAAAGGCAGACACTTTTACAGTAAGAAATTTGGACTGTTTCTTTTTTAATCCATCATTTTAACTCATCTTTTGCATGCCTTATGTTCCTCCGTGTCGTTATTTAAAATAAAACACTGTCTCTTCGCAAGACTATCTCTAGAATCTACAAGGCATCAGATTCTGTTTGCAAAATACCTCTCCGCCTCTCCAGGCTAACAAAAGACTTATCAATCTATTTCACGACTTGTTGCCTGCTTGGGTGTTTCATCATTGTCTTTGACCCACTGAAGATGAATAATGCAATAGAGATCGCTCCTTACTGCTGCAGTAAATGATCTCCTCCTATAAAATCCCACACGAGCAACTAAGTGTTTTCAGAAACAGGTGAGAGCAGCTGACTCCTCCAGAGGAAGAATGATCGACTCCCTGATGACACAGCTTGCTCCAAATCTTGAATTACACCTCCTAATGAACTATATATCTTGATCAAAACAGAGCTGAAAGTAATTACAAAAGGAATAATTAATGAAACATGATTTTTTGAAAATGTTATGTAAAACTTTTGTGTGATTCGATGCAAAGTCAATTAGGAGGGGGAAAAAGGGTCTGATAGAGTTAGTTTAACTGCAGTACTGCACCTGTGATTTTGATACAGATGAATTACATTTAGGTCCTTTATAAAAACAATGTTGTGAATATTAAAAACAATCATAGAGCAGAGGTGTTCAACAGCTTCTCCTGACTCTTTACCCACTCCTATTATTGTTTTTCTGGGAGGATAGGAGCTTCATCAGCAAGTAACTTTAATTCTTCAGAACCAACAGTGAAACATCAAACTACCTGATGCAAGTGGTAACTATAGCAAAGTGCACTGAAAACTGGGGAAGAACTTCTTTATGCGAAGAGTTGTGGGAGCAGGGAACAAGCTCCCCAGCCCTTTTGTCCAAGCTGATACCTTTCTTTTGTCCCGACCTCTTTCAAAAACATCTGGATGGGATCTTCAGGTCACTTTGAAACGAGCACCCAAACAAGCTAGATGGGCCAAAATGGTCTCTTGTCCTTTGAGGCTGTGTTCTTACAGCTTGCTCTACTGCAGCATGACCAAAGACAGCAGGTGGCTTGCAGCACAGAACAGGGATAAGGAAACATTTTAAATTGGTGTTTTTTTTTTTCACCTGGACATTTAAGTGCTCCACCTTCCCTCCACAAAAAATAACTCCAGATGTTTCCCAATGAAATAGTGTTGCCATCACTGTCGCCTCCTGGCCATGAAAGAAAAGCACACAGGTCGACACAAGAAAAGCAGAACACCGAGTGAGAAGCAGCGAAGTGGACAAGAAGGTCTCCATCACCCTGTGACAGATAATTTGCTGCCTCCCTCTCCCCAGTGCTGCAAGATTCCTAACTGCCTGCTGAACACTGTCAGGCCTTAATCTCGGCCAACTGTATCGCAGAGATAAAGCAGTATCCCTCTCCTTACTATACAGCCAGTAATTGATTTTGCATTATTGATTTGCTCCTTCTGTTTCTTATGTCAACAGCCTCACAGATAAAACCAATGCCTGTTAAAGGTCAGGCCATTCCCAGAAGCACAAGCACACAGTGTTTGACCATGTGAAGAAGGAAGAGGCAGCATAGCTGAGGAGGACCTGTATGCAGTTTAACCCACGGAACCTGTCTGCTTCGCTCGGAAGACTGTCTTTATTAAGGCCAGGGAGTCTGCCTTACTGCTCTGAGGCCAACACTCTCCTACACACTTTCAGGAGACAAAAGTTGCTAACGAATGCAAGACACTGCTCTTCATCTGAATGATAAAATAGTTGAAGTCATATTATTTTTTGTGAAATAAACAAAATTAACATAATTCATCGATCCGTTTTCTAACCACTTTATCCACATCGTGGGGGAGCCGAAGCCTTGGCAAGCACCAGCCACAAGGTGGGATACACCCAGGACAGGCCACCAGTCCATCACAGGGCACACACAGGCACAGAGACACACACACACACACACACCTCCCAAAAGCCCATTAGCCTCTCACTGTGTTTTGGATAGTGGGAGGAAACTGGAGCACCCAGAGGAAACCCAAACAAACACGGGGAGAACATATAAAGTCAACATAGATAGCTGCACAGGAAATGAACCCAGAGCCCCACTTATGCAAGGCAGCAATGCTACCCACTGTGCCACCGTGGTTAGCCATAACATAACCATCTAATAACAAGAAATCAAACCTACAGTACTAAACTGTATTTGTCAAGGGATTAAAAGCTAACAACGTCTGACACAAAGAACCTTCAAAGCTGAATTTGGTGTGCCTGCTGTTTCAGTAATTGTGAGCTCTAGTACGACAATAGCAAAAGTTGCTTGCACCTTTTGGTCATGCAAGAACCTGCTTTTGTGAAAAGAGGAGAACATGTAGAGCTGCGAAACCAAAAAACAAACACACGACGGGCACTTTCATCTCCAGCGCTGGGCACGCAACAAACACGAATGAAGGCAAAAATTGAACACGTAGCTTCTTCTGCCGTGTCACTTCAGAGCCACCACTCATGGGCTCAACAAGCACCCGATTGCAGCAGCCTCCCAAGCTGTGTGCTCAATTCCAGCAACCCGTCAGGGACTTGCTGACGTGGTGCTGTGAATCCATTCATGCGTTCAGCCTCTTTGTCTTAGAAAAGGCTGCAAGAGTCTTTCTTATTATTGACTTTTCCTCTCTTTATTGCACAGCACTGTGAGATGAAGTGTCATGGAAGGTGCCATATAAAACAAAGATTATTACTATTAGTATCACCTCAGGCTGATCTGCAATCTTACATAAGACCTAGAGCAAAGATTAACTTACAGCTCCCATAATGCTGGTCTGACATAATATTTATCACCTTTGTTTTGTTTTTGCCCTTGGAGCTACTAATGAAATCTTCTTCACGGCAGGGTTTTTGGACTAGTTTCGCCACATTTAGCTCATCTTTCGTTTCTGTAACACCGGACTGAGATGAATTGTTGCAGGGCAATGTGTGCTGTAAATCAGTCTACATTACACTTTTACATCAGCGTCTCTCCACTGTTTCTCGACAGCTCTGAGATATTATGTGGGGTATACAGTATGAACAAACCCTGGAGTTATTCCTTACATCATACGGTGATAAATATGTAAACCGCTTTATTACATGAATCACAATCATGACTTGGCTTGTATGAAAATAAGAAATGTCTAAGTTTACCAGAAAACTTTTGAAGCATCACAATTAACACCCCACACAGTGTACTGTAGAGTTAGAATTACAGGAAATTATATATTTGAGGAAATTATACAAGAAATTATATTTGGCCTCAGGTACCAGTCTAGTTACTTGGAAGACTTTTGTGAAGAAACACACTCTCAAAGGCCAACAAAGAAAAGAGCTGTTTCCAGAGCTAAACTAAACAGAACTAAACAGCTCACTTAAACCTTTAATACAATAAAGACACATCCTAAACAAACTCAGATTAGCCACTTTAAAATTAGTATAGAAAGCACAATGAAGTACTCTTATAAAAAAGTCACAGATTCATAAGAAGAAATTACAGAGAAAGCTCATAACACTTACAAACTTAGTAAAGCAAAAACCTGGGAAAATCTCAAATGAACATGAAAAGTAACAACTATAAATTATTGTGAAGTAGCAGTAACAGTGTGAAGTAGTTCTTGAAGCACTGAAATCAGTCATCACTGTACTAAACTTTTGTGCATTTTTTGTGACAAGAATCTGCTGCAATATTCATGGCTATCAAATGTACCTATCTGGAAGAATTACATTGTACAAAATCATCCAGTTGTGACATTATGTTCTGGATTCTAGTACAAGATCTATGTGCTTTAGACATAAGTGAGACCATGTATTTTGTTTTTAAAAAGAAACCCATTCACCTCTGTCCTTAAGAAAATGCATCAGAGCCACAGTCTGTACCGCATTAAAAATGTATGGTGGCCTTTTTTGTAAAAAGAAAAGAAAGTAACCGAGAATACGGCCCTTAGTTACTTATTTATGATCACATGAAGAGAGAGGAGGAAACAAAAACTAGGATGACAGATTAGCAGCTAAAGAGAGTTCTGCATACCCATCCAATGCCTCATTACACACGCATCATGATACTCTTAATATGTAACACATTTGTTACAGATTACAGTACGTGGAGGAACCATCAGTTACCAGAGCAGACTGTAAAACCTGCGAAGAGTTTCGCTCAAGGAAAGCTGCTCAGCCCTCCTGGTGAAGCTGTTATAACCACACATAGCCCAGGGCCAGCTGGACACATCCACCGTGACATATCGCCCCTGAAACTGGGAGATGAATGGCGGCGAATGAGAGACTCATTCCACAGGATAACAGCTCCATTACCAGCTCTGGTGAACTCAACTGGCAGTTTGAAGGGCAGCGCACCACAAGCTGAGCCTGACTTCTGCTCCCTCGACACAGTCAGACAGTAAAATTGGACTCCACATAAGAACGTAGGAACAATTAAAAACGATTGGAGGCCATTTGGCCCGCCCGGCCCGTTTTGTAGCCTCTTGTCAATTGATCATAGGATCTCACGTCTCCGTTTCTTGAAAGAAATCAAGAGATTGGCCCAAAAACATGGCTGGATAGCTTGTTCCATACTCCTACAACCCTTTGAGTAAAGAAGTACCTCCGGTTCTCAGTACTAAATGCACTTCCAATTCACGTTTCCACAGCAGACCTATCCTTCACGAAGCAGAGCAAACGTGCTTGCTCAGATTAATGCTGCACATCACTTTTTCAGACATTTAAAGCATATTTCTGTTGGCCATGCCTTAAAACTGGGGCCCCAAAGTTTTCGGGGGGGACACTGCATTTTCAGGTTTTTGTTTCAACC